TTTTTCTTTTTTTTTTTTTTGTAATTCTTCTTAAATGATACTTGTAGCTGCTCATCGGAATAAATTCTGCAGCACACGAGCTGTGAGCTTTCGAGTCGCCGTCAAAGGACCGTAAGGCTTTCCTGGCTCCCTGGGCACCGCGAGGGCGGAAGGGGACGTGGGGGGGCGTCTCCGGGGCGCGAGGCCGCCGCGCGGCACGGGGACTCCTTTGGTTATCTGTCACTGAGCGAGGGACGGGGAGGGCCGGGGTCCTGCCCAGGGGGCACCGAGCCCAGCGGTGCCGGCGGCGCGGCGGAGCCGCAGCGCCCGGCCCGGGCCTCGACGGCGGGCACGGCGGCCGAGAAAGGGAGGCAAAAGGGGAGCCGACCGATCGCGCCGCGCCTCCCGCCGCCCCCCGCGCCCGATCGGCCGGGTGGAGACCGGCGCTCGCTCGCAGATCGGTGGAGAGCGGGGCGCGCGGCTTCCCGCCGATCGGCGGCGGGCGCTCCCCGGCCAACCGGAGATCGGCGCTCCGCTCCGCGCCTAGGGCGCGGGATGCGAAGGAAAGCCCGAAAGCCACCCGCACCCGCCGGGCGCGGCCCGCTCCTCGCGCCTCGCCGCGGCCGCCGACCCTTCGCCGCCGGGGCCCAGCCCCGCCGCCCGGCCCCGCCCCGCCCCGCGGGGAGCGGCCCCTTGCACACGCCGCCGCGGGGACGGCCCTGAAAGCCTCACGGTCCTGCAGTGGCGTTGCGGACATGTGCAGTACAGTGCATGGCAGTATCAGCTGAGCACAAAAACCCCTCTCCCCACCCCCCTCACCCCACAGCCGGCTAGACGTAGCCAAGACCACGTTCCAAGCTGGTCAGACATGCATGCATATTTGTGAACATTTACATAGGGCTGGCGGCCGCGCGCGGAGCCTCCCAGGCGTCGGCAACGCGGGGAGGGAGCGACCCTCCTTCCCGCCCCCCCCCTCCTCGCTAATTAATCATGCAAAATGACTCGGGCCGCACCGCCGGGACGGCCGGCGCATCGCCGGGGCGGCGCCGAGCGGCAGAAACCATCGCGAGGTCGCGGCAAAACCCCGCGCCGCGCCGCGCCGCCCGGCCCGCAGGATGAGGCGCTCGGGAGCCCGGGGGGCGAACCGGGCCTCCACACTGAGCTCCCCGCCGGGCCCGACCGCCTCGGAGTGAGCGGGGCTCGGGGCCGGGGCCGTCCTCCCGCCTGGGAAGGACACGGAGCGGTGGGGAGCGGCCCCACGTCGGCCCCGGGCCCGTCGGCACCCGGCTACGGTGCGCCCTCCGCCCTCCTCCCACCGCCGAGGGGAAGAGCGGCCACAGGACCAAAGAAACGCGACGGAAAAGGAAACGGAAGAAAAAAAAAAACCTACCCTAAAAACAAAACAAAAGAGAAACGGGGGGCGGGGGGGAAATAATAATCCCTAGCGGAGTACAAAGACCTGGAAAGTGATGGAGCGACGACAGCGTCTTTGCAGTGCGGAGGACACGGGCGGCCGCCACCAGCAAACACCATTCGGCCCCGCAGCGCTCCGAGCCACGGCGGAGGAGGAGGGCTGGCCGCAGCCCGGGCTGCTCAGCGCTCACCGCATCCGAGGAGAGGCTCTGGGGAGGGGGGTAAGCGCACGGCCGGGCCCTGGCAGCGGGCAGCGGCCCCCGCCCCTGGCCCGACGTCCTCATCCTGTAACCAATTGTGCGGCACGGCGCCCGCCCGCCTCAGTCCGCCTCCCGCTGCACCTCCGACGCATCCGCCCGGCAGATGGGGCACGTGCGGTTCGCCTGGGGGGACAAGGAGAGAAGAGGGGCGGTGAACGGGGGGTCCCGAAGCCCACCGCGGTTGGCGGCATCCGCAGCCCTATCCGCTCACCTTTAACCATTTGTCGACACACTTAGCGTGGAACTCGTGGTTGCAGGGCAGGACGCGGAGCAGCTGCCGGGCCTCGAAGTCGCTGAAGCACACAACGCACCTGGGGAGGACGGACGGATGTCAGCCCGGCCCCAGCCCCGACCCTCCCCCGACAGCCCCGCCCCCAGCCCCGCATTCGCTCACAGGGTCTGCTCGGACTGGTGGCTCTCAGGGTTGAAGCGGTAGGACGGGAGGTGCTCGATGTCTGCTTTGGTGAGTCCCCGTGGCTTGGCCTCCCCCAGCCTCTCGGCCAGGTTCAGTAACGCCTGCGGGAGATGCGGACGGCTCAGCCACGGTGGAGGCACCCCGGAACGCCAAGGTCACCCCACAGGGCAGCGGAGCCACGCACCTCGTAGTTCTCCATCTCCACGTCATCCACGTCCAGGTCCAGGCTGATTGTGGGCCCCACGGCCGTCGGCGACACGGGAAGCATAGAGCTGCATGGGGGGAGGATGGGGCCCTCAGCACGGGTGCCTCGGTGGGGACAGAAGCACCGTGACACCCCACGCCCCCCACATCCCCACCACCCCCCCAGTACTCACAGGAAATAGGGCAGGAAGCTCGGGTAGTACGGAGGGGGCGGTGGAGGGGGCGGCGGCGGGGGCAGCGCCTGCTGCAGCCGGTACCGCTGGGTGTTCAGCCGCCGGGGCATCATGTGGGGGTATGGCTGTGGGGAGAGATGAGGGCTCAGGGCCGTGCCCGCAGCTCCTGCGTCCCCCAGCATCGAGACGGGGACTTACCACGCCGAATGGCAGCTCTTGGTGCAGCGGGTCGTGGGGGAGGTAATGCAGCGGCACGGAGGGGGAGAGCGTGGGAGCATGGTGGGACGGGGGGTACGTGAAGCCGGCGATGGGGTGCTGCTCCCCTCGCAGGTCCACATCATTGTCTATCCTCTGCAGAGGCTGTAGGGGAAACTGTTAGGCTGGAAAGGGTGTCTCAGATTTCATCCACTGGCTTTAGCACGGCATTGCACCCCGTGCATCCCACCTGGGGGGCTGCACAGAGATCATACTCCCTGTTCCAGAGCCCCGTGCCTGGCTCTGCAGCACCAACACCTCCCCAACCCTACCCCGACTCACCATTCGTGGGTGCTGGGCTTGGAGAGGCACGAACTGCCCCAAGGGAGCCATGTGGGGCGGTTGGTGGGGGGGCACTGGCGGCGGGGGCGGGTGCAGGATGTAATGGTCGCTGGAGATGATTGGAGGGAACGTCTGGTAGGAGACTGGGAGCTGTTGCATGGCGCATGCCTGGATCAACTGCGGGGTTTGGAGAGAAATGTGGGTCAGGGGCACTTCTGTCTGCCCCAGAGCATCAAACAGTCCCCACACCCACAGCCCCTGTGCTCTGGGGTGGCAGCAACGCAGCCTTCAGGCAACCCATGGTCACCGCCAGGTGTCCCCTTCTCTGTCCCCACCGTGACTCACCGGGGGTGGGAGGCAGCAGAGCGGGTAGTGCTGTCCACTGAACATCACTGAGCATGCTGGGAGCTGCTGGGTGCTGCACCCAGGGATGTGCTGGCTGGTATGGATGGGGAAGCCTTGCGTCGTAACGGTTGTGACCGTGTAGGAGAGAGGGACAGGTCCCTGGTGCACCTGGGGACAAGGCACAGAGGATGTGGGCAGAGGACACAGTCCCAGCTGGGCTGTCCCCATCCTGGAGGGGCAGCAGCAGGGCAGAAAGCACCCAGCACTGGGACACGGCCAGCATAATGCAGAGCTCAACGTGAGTTTTGGACCTCGCTTTGCAACCAGCGGTCAGGGTGACATGGGCTCCCACCCCACCACCACGAGGGGACCACAGGACATATCACAGGTCCTTGTCCTAGAGCTGGCTCTGGACAACACGGTATGAGTGCAGAATCACTCTCAGCACCAGAGCTGCTCCTGCAGCACCTACCTGGTCATGAAGATCCACCATGAATGGGTTCTGGTGGGGTGGGTGAGCGGCCGGGTGCAGCATTCGTGGCGGTGTGCTGGGGAGAGCGTAGGCGCGGGGCTCATCTACAGGGATGTGCGGCTGCTGGGGGAAGGCAGGGTGCAGCTGGGTCTCATCCTGGCCCAGCAGGGTTGCCAGAGGTCGGTCGCGTCGTCCCCACTGACGCCTGGCAGGGGGGCTGCGGAGCCACCGCAGGAGAGAAACAGAGCAGGAGTGACCCCCAGGCAGGGTCAGCGCCCAGCGGTGCAATGCTCAGAGCTGGGCTCCTCATTTGGCTGCCAACGTCGAGCTCCACTTGCCCTGTGTGTGCCACCCTGTGTCCTCAGCACAGGACCCCACATGTTCCCCTGGCCATGCTCCCCACCCTGAGCTCCCCCAACCCACCAGGTGCTGGTGGCTGCCCCAGCAGGCTGTAACCCACAGTGTGTCCCAACACAGCCACGATGGCCACTGGGACTCCGTGCTGCCCCATACCTTCGCCGGAGGTGGTCAGGGCTGCTGCAGGGTCCCCCTGAGAAACGACGTTGGTTAAAAGGGGCAGAGGGAGGCCGCCTATTCACTGCCAGTTCCCATGGTCGCATTGGTGACGTCGGGAGGCGGATGAGCACGCAGGACCTCAGGCTCCAGGCAGGGCAAGACACCAGCACCTTGGATCCTGTGAGAACAACAGCAGGTCATGGTCTCTTAAGCCCCCAGGACAGCACAGGGTTGGAGCATGAACAGGAGCCCCAAATCCTCCCTGATATGGGATATGGGATAGGGGGGAGGTAGAGGTGTGGAGCTGGCTCCGGGCAGCAGCCTTACCCCAAGATGTGCTCTGCAGTGTGACCCCAGCACTGCCCAGCCTGCTGCCCAGGCACCCAGTCCCAGGCCCACCACTGCTCCTGGGGCTGGAGACAGCAGAGCATGGCCCCCATCGGGTACCCAGGCACCGTCCCTCTGCTGTGTGACCCCCCCCCATGCAAGACACAGACACTATGAGAGACAGAAGCACGTGTTTTTGGCAGAGAGAAAAGCAAGCTGGTGACTGCAGCACTGTCCTAGGTTGCTAATAGGACCTAGGTGCTCCCAGCATATCCTCAGCCAAGCAGGGTTCAGTGCTGTTGTGGGGGTGTTCTTTCCTGCAGGGCTCCTGTGTGTCTGCTCTGCACCCTCTGCAAGCTGCCAGTAGGGCACTGCTCCACTGCCCTGCACCCATGGGTGTCCCCATGTCACTGCCACGCAGCGAAGTGCCACCGCTCCACACCTGGGGCTGCTCATTGCCTGGCTCGACATCCTCCCGTGTCCCTGCAGTACAAGGTGGCACAAGTTCCAACCCAAGCAGCTCTGGCCTCAAAGCTATCCCCCCAAATCCAGCTGGAGGCCATCTCCCGGCACAGCGCCTGCTTCAGCCGTTCCTCCTGCCGCTCCACGCGCTGGCCATGCAGGCACAGGCTGAGCACAGAGCGCCCTGAGCCGGGCAGCAGCACTGCAGGAGGCTGGGGGCGTCGCCAGAAGGACAAATGGCCATGTCACATCGAGGGGACGGCCTGACACTGTGCCGAGCATCTCCTCCTACCCTCACTCCAACCTGGGATGCTGGTTCTGAATCCGAGGGCAAATCTCTCTCTTTTGGGCAAAAACAAAGCCGCCACAGCAGGAGCCCTCAGAGCAGCCCGCGCTCCCGCTGGGGTCCGACCGCTGCGGGGTCCAGAGCTGTGCGCGGTCTGTGCTCACCGCGCCGCTCCGGGCTCCCCCCCGCGTCCCCGCTTACCGCCTCCCGTTTCACCCCACGCACACCCGCGGTGCTCGGGCCCCGCGCGACCCCCGGGGTCGGCGCCCAGAGGCCGCGGCAATGGCCGGGACGCGGTGGGGGCGGACACTCGCGGCCGAGGCTCGGCGGCCACCGGGCATGGGAACAAAGTTAGTGCGCTCGGTGCCATCTGCCGGGGCCGCCCGAGGACCGCCGCCCGCACGGCCCCACGCCCCCCACCGGCTCCGGCCCAGCGCGAGCGCAGGGTCACGGCTCGGCCCCGCCGCCGCCCGAAGTGCCGCCCTCCGCGCCGCGCCCCGACGACCCCGGGGGCCGCAGCCCCCACGCACGGACCCTCCGAGCCGGGCACGGCCCCCGGAGCGCGCCGGGGCTCAACGGAGCTGTGGCTTTAAGAGCGGCCGCTCCGGGGCCATGTGCTCGGCGCCAAACAAAAGCAATAACAAAGGCGGCCCCGGGCCCCGCCGCGCCGCCCCGGGGCAGGTGCCCCCGCCGGAGACGGGGAGGTCTTCGGGGGGGCGGCGTCCACCCCCGCCCCGCTCCCGGAGCCGCTCCCTCGCCCTCCGGACTTACCTGCACTGCCGGCCGGGGCCGCGCTCCGGGAGCCGCTGCGGCGCCCCCGCCTCCTCCCGCCGCTCTTTGTTCGCCGACGCCGGGCCCGGGCCTGCCCCCCCCCCCACTCCCTCCCGGCCGGCCGGCCCCCTCCCTGCCGCCGCCGCCGTTTCCGGTGCCTCTTTGTTAACCGCGGCTTGGGGCGGGCGGGCCGTGGCTGCCGCCGCCGGGGTGCGGGTACGGGGTGCGGCCCCTTTAAGGCGCGGCGGCACGCACCGGGCCGAGGCACAACACTCGGAGGCCCCGGGGGCGCGCGCGCCTGGCGGGAGGGGAGAGGGGGAGCGAGCGGGCGGCGCGGCGCGCGCGCGACCCACGTGACCAGGCGTGTCACGCTCCGCCGCCATCTTGGAGGCGCGGGGCTGGGCCGCCACGCGGGGTAGCGCCCCCTCCCCCCCCCTCCGCCGTGCGGGAGGAGCGCTGTCATAGCAACGGTCCGCACGGAGCGGGGGCCCCGGCAGCGCGGCCCTCCCCGCGGCACCCCTCTTACCTGAGGCCTCTTCCAGGCCTCCGGCCCCTCCGCCGCTCCGGGCGGGCCGTGCGGACGGCAGATCGGCCGCCCCCGCGCTCCCGCCGCGAGGTGCGTCGATACGCAGGGAGAAACGAGGCGGTGGGCGCGGAAGCTCCGCCGCCGGCCCCGAGAACCGACACGTGTCCGCGTCCCGCTCAGGGCCTCTCCTGATGCCCGCGCCCACCGCCTGCCGGGCACGCGCGGCTCCCACGGCATCTGTGCCCGGTTTGTCTGGGGACCCCGGCAAAGCCTACTGCTTCAAGACGGCCTCTGCTCTCTGTGCCGAGTTAAATCAGCACAGAACTCGTGGGAGAACTCCTGAGAGACACCGAGCGCCCAGCCGGGAGCTGCCGGCCAGCCCATGGGCCGCGCCCCGGCACCGAGCACGAGGCGGAGCCCGCGGGCAGCGCGGCCCGAGCTGACAGCAGGCGCTGCGTCCGTGCCGAGCTGCTGCTTTACGGCACGCCGAGAAACTCCCAGGTATGAGAGCCAGCCAGCTGACAGCCCTGATGTCATGCCTGTAAAACAGCCCTCCCCTGACAGCTGGGCTTTAAAGTGCTAACAACCAAAAGGGAGATAATTAATTTGTAACGTCACCCCTTTTAAAGAAAACCTCAGAGCCATGGCGACGGTTTAACAATCCGGTAAGCTCATCATCACACTGAGCGGCAGTGCTCGGTTCTGTCCTGCCCCCGGATCCCTCCAGGCCCATCTCAAGGCCGTTTTGCCTACTCTCACCTCCTCACCCAAATCCTGGCACACACCAGCACATACAGTGGCCTCAAGGCTTCCCCAGGGTGTAGAGCAAACTCCTTCTGCCCCAACAGCTGCTCCCATGCCTTGGCGGGGGCCAGAGAGCACAGCTGTGACAGAGGTCAGACTCTGTTCAGACAGACACCCCAGGAGGGGACAGCCGAAGGGCTGATGATCACCCTCAATGTCCACTATTGGCTTCAGGAGCCAGGGACAAAGAGGGAGATGGCACCGTGCACTTTGAGCTCACTATTATTTCCTGGCAGAGATAGCAGTGCACCTTTACACGGTGGCCAGGACACAGCCTGACCCTAAGAACAGCTTAAACAGCACACAGAGGCCCACATGACAGATATCTGTACGCACGCTCCCTGCCAGCACGTTCCAGCTGCACCAGATCCCCGGCGGCCAGCAGCTATCGATGTCCTCAGGACAACGGTGGGAGAAGCAGGTGATGGAACATGGCTCTCTGGCGAGCAATGCTCATGCCCTGTGCCTGGCCAGGCCAGGTGGTTCCTGTGGCACACTGTGCGCCTGCCTGGCAGCCCCTGTGAGGACAGGGCACGCACAGGTGGCTCAGCTCACACCTGCCCTGTTCTGCCTTGGGGACACAGCAGTATACACAAACACCACTACATCATGCTGCTCCGGGTATGTGCCACCATGTAAAAGGCCACTGCTGACCGCCAGTGTGACTGCATCCTGATGTGGGCTTAAGCCTGGAGGAGCACAACAAGGAGCCCAAGTGACAGGCATTAGCCAGTGCTTCTGGGCCAGGACAAGGGCTCCTGAGTCCATTCATCTGCCCTTCACCAGGGACACCAGTGGCTCCAGCCACTGAGCAGAGTGAAACCTCCAGAGAAGCTCTCTACCTGTGAAGGCTGCATATGCCCAGCTCTTGTCACAAAGAACTGCACAGGATGAATTCGGAATCACCACAGCCCACCCTCTTCCTCACAAGAGCCAGAGGTCAGCACAACAGGAGCCTGCTTGAGCCCAGGCTCTTTGCGACACCATCTGCTGCTACAGACGTGCCACCTCCCCGGCCTCATATATAGGTCAGGTCTGCCACAGGATTAGCTGGGGCGATTGAAGCGATGTGGGGAAGACTCCCAGTGGAGGCAGGCTCTCCCCCAGCCTCTCCTGAACACTCAGCATGCCATCAGCTTCCAGACATACTCTCCCCAGCCTCTCCACCAAGTCCAGGAGAGATCCTCCCCTCCCCACCATCTGCAAAACAAGCAAGAAGAAACCGGTACCAAGCACTAAGGAGTTCCCAGCCTTCAGGGGGAGACAGCAGGAGAATTCCCACCCTACCCAAAACCCAACAGAGACCAGGTGACGTGGGACGCCCCAACATCAGCAGGTGCTGCATGGTGAGGTGCTTTCCCGCTGAGGAGAGGAGCTCCCTCCCCGCTTTGCACACCTTGGTGGAGCTGAGTTTGCTGGCAGGGGAGGCAAGGACGCCTTCGCAGCGATCGCACACCACCCACTCACACCCCCGGGCTGCCAGCACTCCCATCAAACGCCTCCAGCCACACGCGTGGAGACGCTGACATGAGGAGCGAGGAGCTGCACAGGCAGCGGAACTGATAACACCCAGTTTCCTGTCGATCTCTCTCCCACGTGGATTCTCTGATGTCTAATAGCAAGGCTGAGCTGCAGTGCAGAGGGAGAACTAGCAGTCTGTTCCTCTCCAGACCTTTGAGATAGCTGCTGCGCTGCTGATCTTAACTGAAACCAGCCAGCAAGTTCAAAGCAGAGAGAAGACTCACAAATAAACAGTAAGCTTGCGCAAGCCTTCATTTCCTCAGGACAGGAATCTGCAGACATATCTCCACCTTTCTTCATTTGCCCTAGAAACAGCTGCACGACCTAAGCAGCGTGACCAGAAGGCTGTGGTGCAGCAGCTCAGGTACCTCTGTAGCTCAGCAGCATCCAGCGAGGGGAAGCACCCTGACTCAACCCGCGGGGTGCTCCAGCCTGAGCAGCTGTCAGAAGGCGTTCAGCAGCCTGTGGTGGCCCCCTCCCATGGCCACAAGCACCATGAACCGTGCTCACCTCCATCTCCTTTCATCCTGCCACAGGCAGTCCCACAGCTCAGCTGTACATGGGTGGGGGGACAAGAGCCAGCTTCAGGCCTCCTCACTGCTTTGCCCTTCACGTTTGCACTCCATACAGCTCTGCCTTAAAGCAGAGACCCCACCTCCTCCAGGCCACAGCTACCCAAGGGAGCAGGGGTACAGCCTGCATCCCTCACCCACCACCCTCTGCAAGCATCCCACCCAGCCCCGCCTGCACACTGCGTACACTGCGCCAAGGGGCAGCGCCTCCAGACACCTCCCCACTGCTTCACCTGCTGGGCACAGGCCGGATCGCTCACACTGCCCTTCTTCTGCTGCCAGCAGCACCTGGCAAAAAGGACACAGGCAGAGCCAGGAGCCAACGGATGGCAGCAAGCAATTCAGCAAAACGAAGCGCCTCTTGAAAGCGTGGGTGACGGTCAGGAAGTTGGGTTGGGTGCTTTGTTTGCATTTTAGGAAGCCTGCAGGGACACTGACAACCTGCAACAATCATTTTCAGAAAGGAGCTCAGACAAATTCACAATTTGCAGCCACTATTTGCCCTCTTTTGTCCTTGATTCATAATTAGCCAGGGGTCTGCTTTCAAGATGCCCTGAAACAGGCACTGACCACTGCCTTAAGCACAAAGGAAGTTTGCTGCCATACCTCCCCAGTACATCACTCGCAGAAAACCCTGCGCCAGTGCCTGGGGATAGTTTTAAAAGGGAAAAAAAAACCACCATGATTTCCAAGCTGACAGCCCCTGTGCACAAAGCACGACTGTGCAGTGACAACAGAGCAGCCCGGGGCACAGGAGCTGGCTGACCTCTGCTACAGCTCTCGCCGGCAGATTTTTATTGTTCACCACTCGCCCAAAGCGCAGGCACACAGAGAAAAGCAACTAAGGCACTTGGATCAAAAAGCAAACGCAGCCGGGGAGCCGCACCGGCACAGCAGGGAAAAGGCAAGCTGCTGGAGGGAAGCAGGCTCTGCGCCTGCCTGGCCAGGAGAGGAAGGACATGAGCCAAGCCCCTTCCTGGAGACACAGCACAAGGTGCTGGAGCCTGCAGTCACCTCAAGGCAGGCTGAGCCCAGAGCAGGCAGCTCATCACATACAGCAAAGCCAGGCCCTCTGCTCTCTGTGATCAAGCTAGAACCTGCACACTGCTTCTTGGGGTAGCCAAGGGAAGCCCAGGGCTTTGTATCTGTCTCTGGTCATCACTGGAAAATAAGGCTCCCTGAGATGCACGCTGTGGGCAGTGCTCCCCTCACTCCTGCCTTGCACACAGCCAAGCAGGGAGCCCTCCTAAAGCACCCCACTCTAGGACATCTGGTTGAGCAAATCCACCGGCCAACCTTTCCTCTAGCACAAGGCAGGTGACAAACCACATTTCTACAGCTGGCCCTGAGCAGGGAGCCAAGGGACGGCGGGAAGACGCCATGTGCCAGCAACCCGCTTCAGAGATGAAAACCCAACAGCATCAAAAAGCTCCGCGCTTTGCTGCCGACAGCCAGTGCTGGCTGCCCAGCCGTGCCCCGCGGCCAGGCTCACGTGACTGCAAAGTGGATGCACACGTAGGAGTGGCTGTAGTGACAGCATTACCGCTTGTGTCGGACACACATCTAAGCCCAGCAAATCCCAGCGCTCTGCAGCGCTCATTTACAAACCCCACACGCTCTGCGCAGGTACACAGGCTTCAGCAAGAGCTCAGTGCCCATGCCCTGGTGGGGACACCCAGGGAACAGTGAACGTGTGCCTCTGGGACCCTCTGATGCCCAAGGATGAGCCTGTGCCATGCCTGGGGCAGGGAGAGCCCTTGCTCGAGCCAGGAGCCCACCCTGTGACACTGCCACTCCACGATGTCAGTGTGCTCCTGCTCCATGGATACACACATGGAAGTGGGGATACCTGATGGGATCAGCAGGACCTCACCCCATCCTGCTCTGCTTCCCATGGCTTTGTTTCACACCAAGCCTCTGAAGCAGGACTTTACCAACAGCGCACACCTGGACGTAATGCCACGAGCCAAAGGCGAGGTCCTACCTGCTGGCTGTTACTTCATTCTTCTAACAGGTCCATAAAACAGGGATAATTAAATCTCTCCTAAACTCTATTCCATTTAAAATAAAAATCTATAGTCCCTATTTCATTAGCTGGCTCTGGGTTTTACAGCTTGATCAATTCCCCTCACAGAGCCCCGGTCCCAGGCAGGCAGACACAAACACGCAGCGAACAGCTTCCACTGTGCAAATCAATGGGGATTTGCAAAGTCTCCTCTCTCAGCTCTTTGTTCTGCACTTGCTGAGCAGGAGCCGCGCAGCACATCAGGTAGGGGTTGTGTGCTGCACTGCCTGTGGGAACAGCGCTTCCAGGAGCCAGATGGGGCACGTGGCGGTGCTCCCTCCAGCAAGGGGACAACCAGCAGGGGCCCCACAAACACGGCCCCAGCCCCAAAGGCAAGGCAACCTTGTGGACAGCACCACTCCTCTCCCAACACGGCCAAGTAAGACAAGGCCCAGCTCCAGCAGCCAGGCAGAAGCAGCAGCTGCTCTCACCTCTCCTGCAAGAAGCGGAAGAAGCCGAGCACTGGGAGCTGAGCACTCAGCTCACCATTTCCTGCCCTTCCTGCCCACCCTCCCCCCCCATCACCGTGCCACAGCCAGAGCAGCCAGGGCTCCAGATGGCTCCACCGCCCCACAAACCGCTCCCGTGGGCACAGCAGGGAGCTGCTGGCGGCCAGCAGCAGATGGAGGGACCTCAGCGGGAGCCGCACAGACAGCACCCGCCTCCCACCCCACACACCCGGGCAAAGGATGCCGTCCTGCTGTCCCCACGGGCTGCAGGAATCCGTTTATCCGAGCACAGGGACGAGCCAGGCTGCAGCTCACCATCACCTGAGGTCGGTGGAGCAGAGCCGGGCTCCCGCTGCCCGGCCGCCTTCAAAGCAAACACCCAAAGGTGACAAACAAAGGCACCCGGCAGGCACTCCGCATTAGCAGTATTTTTAGACGCCGCTCTGGAGCCGGCCTTATTATTTTCATTGCAACGTGCATAATTACCCACCATGCACCGCAGTGACATCAGGCAGCAGCCCGCTCCCCTCCACAGCCGCCGCGGCCGCTCCTCCTCCTGCTGCTGCTGCTGCTGCTGCTACCGCCGCTCCCCGGGGCTCCGGCCTCAGCCCACGCACAGCACCGGCACATGGGAGCCGCGCACTTCGGGGCTGTGGAGCCCCGGGCCGGTGCCGAGGCAGCTTCAGGCGCCGGCACGGGGAGCAGGGCCGCGCACGGCTCGCGGTCGGCGCGCAGCTGGACCGGGCGATGCCGGAACGCGGCGATGCCGCTCAGGGCCGCGGGCACCCCGCACGGTCCCCGGCCCGCTTAGGCCGCCCGCGGGGCGGTGGGACGGGGCTGCCGGGCCCCGCGGCGCAGCGCGTCCCACGCCGCGGCACGGCCGCCAGCACCGCCCCACGCGCGGGG